AAGGGGCCGGCTTGGATGGTGGTTGAACCATAGGGGACCCCTGGTTTCTTCATTAAATTATGCCAAAACGTCCCGTCAAGTTGTCGGGTAACAACCAATGGCTATTGAGTATCGACGTCGAGACGGCAGTCTCTCGAGGACGGGAATACTACTACTTGACGAACAGGAATCGCCCCCCAATTGAATTGAACGGTCGCCAGGTACGCGGATGTTTCCCACTGACCATCTCTGCTGATTTCCGTACTATTAAATTGAGCCATCTCCCTGTGAGAAGACGGCTTGTTCGTTGTATTTGATGTACTAGGGGTACAGTTCCATAGCACATTACTTCGTAGATGGCGGAATGTTGCACTTGTGGTATTGCATTTGTACTCGGTACAAAATATATGCAGGAGAAGCACTCTAGTTGGCATATTTGGCCACACTTGGCTAGGATATGGTGGCAATTGTGTGGGTTTCTTTGTCGAAGAACTGGTGAGTGTAAGCTTTCATCAAGTAAGCTGACCTCTTTGGACAGTAACTGTTCCAGAGACCTGGTACAGCTCGTCGGATATCATACAGTCATGTCTGAGGTCCAAACGAGATGGTGCGCAAGCCGTAAATCATACGCAAGTTGATTTCGAGTTTGGCTGGACAAAACAGCTGTTGGCTGGGCTGATATCAAATTCTGAAGCAGAGGGTCGATGTTCCATCCAATTGTTCATCGGAAACGGAGAGAACGCAGTAGACGCGGGCGCATTGACGCGCTGCGATGTCAGAAATGCCGATGTTTAACTGTGCTTATACGATGTGTGCAATTGATAGAATCTCTCTGATTGAGTTGGGTTTATCCTGTCAGGACTGAGGGGCATGATACACATTGTAAAGTCTACCAGACGTGTTGGCGAGGTTGCATGCGGCATATGCAGGACATGCAGGAGCTCCGGCGTTCCTTCCCCTTTGGTCAGACCTTTGAAGCGTGACAGTGTACTCCGACGAATATGCTTCTCAGCCAAACGTCCACGTGCGTCTCCGATGCCCAGCCATGTCAATTGACCTCAACACAAATACACGCATACTCATGGTTGGACGTTGCTTGTCGACCAGGCCACGCCGGTGTAAACCTTACTGTCGCCCTTATTTCTGTCCGCATAGCTAACGTCGTTTCCAGACAACCAGAGTTTCCCCGACGCATAGGATTTAACATGTACTAGTATATAAAACTCCGCGAGGCGTAAATGCCGTATGGACGTGGCTAGGAATGCTCCGTGGAGCGAACTTGCACTGACAGGTCGCCCCATGAGCCTCAGCTTTGCCTCGATTTGGACCCCGAGATCGCCCACTCCCCCATTTTGTGGGCTGGCGAACTTGGCCGTCCAGTCGCATCTCGAGAATTTCGCTGACACAGCTTTCTGACTTGGGCAACCCGGATCTTGGAACGACTGTCAACATGCAGGATTGACAGGGGCCCTCAGTCTACGCGTTTGCCTCGTCGCTGCCATACGCCACGAATACGGAATCTACAATACGGACTGACTCTTCTCAAAGCCGATTCCGAGTGGGATTGTCTCCAGACGACGGCGCAACCTGGACATCAAAGCCATTTTGACTTGACAACCTCCCATGACACCGCTGCTCGCCCCCTGCTCCATCTCTCTGCAAGAAGCCCGTGGGGAACTATCCATGCAGGTGAAGCATGTACATAGTGCTCCTGTGGATGGACCTGTCACTCTCATCGGACACGGCTAATGCACCCAAGCAGCTAGCTACATTTTATCTTGCAATGGCCGGGAGAAATCGTGTGTGTGCACGCACGATCTTCATCTTAAAATGCATACATACATATGCACATATGTTTACCCATTCTTGCTAAACTCCACATTGACAATAGGGACCGGTGTCTGAGAGTGTCGCCGCCTCGAAGTATACTACTACTACTGCTTCAACATCTTTGAAGGACAAGGGTGGGGACATGCTGCCTGAGACAATGGCTACGTAGTTCCCTGGGGAAATTCTTGGAAAAGTCAAATAGCTGGAGACAGCTCGCTCACACCGTCGACCCAGCATCACGGCACGCGCATGGTGTGGCGTTGGCGTGGGAAGATAAGGGGGGTGTCAAAAAGAAGAAGGGAAAAGAACTAGGGCAGGGCCAACGCAAGACGTGGAAGCGTTCAACAGGCCCTAAACCGCCATCAGTGCCGTCAGGGCAGGCTTGGTAGTGTCACTGTTTGATGGATGTGCCAGACATCCCAGGAACGCAAAGAGATGCCAGAACACGCGAACTCCTCCTTGGCGCGACTTATCGCGGTACATATTCTTGACACGAAACCCAAGACAGCGGGATTCATTACTCGAGTGTTCAACCTCTGCACAAGCGACATCTATGATATAGCCACGAATGTCTGGATGCCATGACTTCAACTGGTTGTGCTTCACGATCCTATATTGGTGTGTTATGAGGAGACCAACAGAGATACTGGGCTAATCACCGACTGATGGCTCGCATGTCGGCATTCCTCATATGGACTACAGGCAAATTTGCATGGAACTTTCAGATGTTCTAACAAAGGGTTGTGTCAAGCAGCAACGGGCTCCGGACAGACGGTTAAACAACTTTATGCAACCCTCCGTCCATGGCAGAAACGTCGGCAAATCTAGTCACACGTACAATGGAGGCTGTTTCGGTGACAGGGGCAATGACAACATTGCTGCTGGCAGGGGGATGGCGTCCCGACGCCGCCTTTTATTAGTGCCATGTCGACTGCCAGTCCCCAAGGCCCCAGTTCAACAACTGCCTTGCTTGGTGGAGCCGACATGGCTCGGTTGACAGAAAGCAGAGGCACGCCGGGTTCCTTTGTTTTCTTGGCCCCGCCACCCACGTCGTTGCCAACCGTCCGACACTAATGTGTGGTCCATCCGCCGTCGAAGCAGCCTGGGCAAAGGCCCTGCAACCGGAGCTGCCAGGTTGGTCGTTGGGTCAGGTTCGACGGCGGTTGAGCGGTTCGAGGACTGGCAGTGGTTGCGCATTGCTGTTGTGCATCTTGTCGAGGCCCCAGGTCGTTTAAATACGCGCCAAGTACCCGATGATGTTGGGACCCAAAATCTGGCCAGGACGGTGCTATTTTTGATCGAAACCGCCGTGTCCTGGGAAATATCCCCTCTATGGATCGCCTAGTGCCCGAGCCTGGGACTTGGAGCTTAAGGTTTTCAGCTCCAGCGTTCGCGGCAAATGGCTGATGCTGATGAAATACCAGCCAGACATTAGCGGGATTAGTAGATTTGCTGCTAGCTCATCCCCGAACTCCTGCCATGGCATCCCTCGACACAACTGCGGAAACCAGGCCGTTTGTGTCAACCCAGGAGGAGCCTTGCCCGGCCCTGGCTATTAATGTTGAAGAGACCCATCGTCTTGGGCCAGCGGCGGGATGTCAATGTGACATTACCAGTATTCTTGCGCACAAACCGTATCGAGGATACGTACTTCAATCTTCGTCCGTCCAGGGTCAAGACTTGCGTCGCACTTGCGCACCCCCTCCCTCCCTCAAGGTCTCTCTATCTCCACCCCATCAGGGGCCCATGCCTTGACGCCCAGGTGAGTTTGCTGGGCCATCTCACCTATGTACATCCATACATACAACAGCAGACTCGTCCACGCTTCTTTCGGCTTTCCATCCAACTTCCTGAACTGAGAATATGGAGCTTTTGGGCCGAGGACCAGCAAGCCCCCGTATGTACAATCAAGTCTGTGTCCATATGCACTGCATTCAAGGACGATTCGCACTCTGTAGAATACAGTCTATCTGAGTTGGCGATGGCGCCGGTGTGTTCCACATGCTCCAGAGTTTCTCTCGGAACGCCAGAGACCTGCTCCGTACTCTACGATATTGCGGCTTCGGACGCCATGACGTCCTGACTCCTTCATGTCACCACATGTCGAGTATGGAGCGATTCATACAGCGGAATGGCGTTCCGTTCTCATTTCATGAGGCGGTCATGGCTCTCTCCCTCTCTCCGTCTGATCAGAGCTCAGGCGGCGGGCGTGAAGCTTCGCTAGTGGTTCCGAGCCAGCAAACGGTCAACTCTTCATATGTACATACCAAACCCAACCCCGCTGGCCACGTTGATTAGTATCGGCTGTGGCCACCGAAAGCCACAGGCGGTACTCCATGCGTACGCCTGGCGCATCTCGAGGTCATGGCTCATTCCCCATCTCTCCCACCAGATCCACTGGTTCCTTGGTCAGACCCGTCCTCGGCCGCTATCCGTCGTGGGGTTAAGGCGTAGCACTTTGGCGTACGAACTTGGGCTAAGTAGTGGCCTTAGTGTGCTTGGCTTGTCGGTTCTTGTCTGTCGGCTGTTCTTCAATGACAACCTTGGCGACCTGACGTCCCTGGTGGACATGCTGCTGGTTCTGGAGGCGAACCTCTCGACCACTCCCCTTTCTGGATGTTTAATCCGAGCCCCTGGGCTTTGATCTGAGTTTCCCGTTCTTTGGCCTGCCATCCATTCCCTAGGGCTGTCCATTAGTCTAACAAGTGTGTACCCCGGTACTACTATCACTATATTGATATGTACAAAAGACACGGGCACCCCCTTCCAATCCCAACTCAGTGACATCGGCCCGGTGACATCTTCGACAAACAACGCATACATGCTATCCAGGGAGTGCCGCTTGTTCGTCTGTCTTTTACATTCCTCAAGCAGCATCTACGAGACCACAAAGCGTTGAAACTCATCAACCTGAATCCCATCCAACTTGCCCGGGCCGTAACTGCACCAAGACGTTGGGCTTCCGGTGCCCAACCCCTACTCTCGTCACTTGTCCTCATTGTGCTCATCTTGGACGATTTCTTCGACTATTGACTAGTTTCTCTTGGCTCAACGTACGAGGGGCGCAAGTATTCGAGGCCAGCAATTATTTGGCCGGACCGGTCATGGATTGTAGCCCCCTACGGCACAACGACTTTCGCAAAACCACTGAGTGCGACTACACCCGACAACCAAAGATGTCTATTCTCACAATGTCACCCGCTTCGCAATATCCGGCTTTCAGAAATGACCTGCTTTGGGATGCCTCTCGAGCATCCTCTGACTCTTCTCGCCCGTCCAAGCACGTCGCACTTCCTTCAATCCGCCAGGTATGCAATAACAGCGTTTCGTAAGGGAAATATCCCACGGCGTGCTAATTTGTTTGTACACAAGACTTTCCCAGAGCTTCATCTTGAGGGCTCACTGGCTGATGTGACTCCTACTGTCACATCAGTACATAAAGCACCCCCGCCCATGCCTGGCTCCTTGGCATCACCTGAATATGTTCACTCTCCAAATGCTAATAAGAAGCGACGAATCTCCAACGAGGATGAGCAAGCGTTTTTGAGGGCAAAGCAGGTCCCAAGGCTTTATCGTAGTCCTGAGGCGCAGCAAACACGGCAACTTTCTCCCAGTCGGGGTCAGCCAACACAATTGGGTGCCAAGAATCCTTGGGCAGAGAGCCCCTCACGAAGCAACACTTATTCTTCTCACGCCACCAGTCTTTCAGCTGCGCCAGCGAGCAGTCGAGCTGATTCGCGACCAGCTCTACCAAGCCTTCCTTCGACTCTTAAACTTGAGAGAGACGCACCACCGATTCACCGACCGCTGGAAACGACTACGGAACCGGCCAACAGCCCAGGACGTAGCGGAGCGAGCCCTATGCCACCGACAATGGAAAGACATTCGTCGTACCAAAGCCAAGACTATGGCTATACCTACCAGCACCCATCACGGTTTCAGTCTCTGTCTACGAGCTCAGTCCGGTCATATAGCCGTGGCCCATTCTCACCAGGGGCCGCTTACGGACACCACTATTCGAGCATGTCACGATATACCGACCTCGGCAACCTTGGCATCGGCAGTGATGCAAAGCAGCGTAAGCGGCGTGGAAACTTGCCCAAAGAAACAACAGACAAGCTGCGGTCCTGGTTTGTAGCCCACCTGCAGCACCCGTATCCGACAGAGGACGAAAAACAAGAATTAATGCGCCAGACCGGCCTGCAAATGAGTACGTCTCTCTCGGAACAACGAGCATAATCTATTCACTGAACGCAGTGCTAACTAACAACAAATAGACCAAATTTCCAACTGGTTTATCAATGCCCGACGGCGTCAGCTACCAGCAATGATCAACAACGCGCGAGCTGAGTCTGACGCTATGAATGGCCGCCCCAGTGGAAGCAGTGGGGATGGCACTGTTTTGGCTTCCACAGAGCAGAGCTCTGACTTCGCTGGCAAGCGCGATGATGGTTTACCACTGAGTGATGGTGAGGGAGGTGGGTACGACGATGATGTGAACAAGCTCCATTGTCGAGGACCTACCGACCGCCTAAGCCTGTGAGATGGCTACGGGAGAAGGAGGAATCCTTGTCGGTCTGTGTGCCTCGCAGTGCATGACTAGTTCGACAGTCTCCTACAGCTTGCAGCACCACATTGCTTGCTTGTGGCAAAAATTTATCGACTCTATCCTACCCGCCATAGTAGGAAACGGCTAGCTGCGGACTATTTTAGTACACTTTTTACCAATTAGAGGGTGATTCCCTGTCCCTAGCAGCTTGGATGGACTTGGGCATATTTCCCATGGCTTTGGGGTTCATCTTGATGTTTTATTTTACTGATGGAGTTTGCTGGACATGACATGATGACGGATACCTCGGGTAACGGAACTGGGACAGGTTTAGGATATCGCATTTGCTTGAGGTTTGTTTGGGGGTGTTTCGTTTCTATTTGGTCGATTTCATGGGTATTCTTACTCCAGGTGCGTGGAGCATTATTACGGCTGGTTGTACCGCATTGTACTACAATATAGAGTGAGAGAAGTAAGTTAGAACCCTGTCTAATAAAGGCTAGAGAAAGGCACAATAATGACACTGCATTTATCCAAGACCTTGGCCTTGAGAGTTCCTTCACAGCAGCAGTGCTTGTTGGCCCGTAGCACGGAGAACCTAGCTGAAAGGGAAATGCGTTTGTTTGATTTTGATTATATAATATGAATACCCCCCCGGGGATAAAGTACGCGAATAATAGTTAATAATAACGGGTGGACTTCGTATCTATCCTGCCAATCTCTATTCGGTGATTGCGACATGTAACATCCAACCCACATGCCGGATACTTGGCAACCAGGCCTGGGAATGGTCTGGACAGCGTGGCTAAAGCTTAAAGCATCGAGTAATATTGTGAATACTATCGTCTTACCTGCCGACTACCACTTTAGGCGCTGGATCGGCAAGGTAAAGGCCTGTCAACGAAGGTCCGGATGCCTGGGGAGTCGGGCCATTTGTTCGTTTTTGACGACCGAAAAACTGCGGGCCAACAGGGAAAGCCAGCCAGAGCTGTCACCTGTGAGGTGCGGCAGTTTATTGATCCCTGTAGCGGCGAATGGCAAGCACATGGGCTGTTCAAGGACTCAACTGAACGAGGCCACACCCCCCAACTCTCCGGAAGCCGCTTGTCAATGATTCCGCTACACGTATCTGAGGACGCTGGTCACCTTGACCGGCGAATTTGTCAGAGAGAGCATACACTGTTCGGTGTACTGTATTGGAGTGAGGTAGTGGTCGATCGGCTGCGTGAGGTCTAAATGCACATCCTGATGCCCTCCATATTGGCATTGTTAATGCGAGCTTTCCGAAGAGTCTGGCAAGCGGCGGCCCGTAATAGTATGTGCATACATACATATGTACGTACATATGTATGTCTCGTTCATGTTGTGAGCTAGAGAACAGGGTGTGCAGGAACAAGCTCAGATTCTCCACATATCCAGGCAGACAAATAAGACAACTTCTGAAGGGATTCCAGGTCTCCAATTACCCATCCAGGTGGTTCCGTGGGACTTTGGTGGGCATATGGGGAAGGTATGTAATATGCTTTGGAAGTGACATTTTGCTAGTACATGGTATCAGTGAACCCGGATCTGCGCTGAGTTGAGTGGATGCCAGATAGTACATACATTGTACATACCTAGGTCCGTAGGGATACCGGAGCTTGTCACTGTTGCGGGAACAAACATTCTCCCCATGTGGGGAGACTAGATCTGGTTGACAGACTGATGACTGCCCAAATAACAAACCATGTGTTGCAAGTTGCCACGACAAGAGTGCGGCGGCTAGTTTAGCAAAACTGGGATAATGCAGGAGAAGCAACACTCATAGGATGCTCATTGCTCCATATTTCCATGCGAGGACATTGTCGGATTTTCTAGGTTTTGAGTCTTGACGGTCGAAAGGTGCGCCGTCGCATAGGCTCGTGTATCGTTGTCGAATGTCGAATGAGTCGGGTAACGAGGGCGGCCAGCTAGGAGTACCACCCAGATTGTGTGATAATATTATTATAAGCCGGACAGCTTCAGCCCGTCTCATGAACAAAAGCGAGCCAAAAGGCAACACCGATTTCCAAGGGACATCGCGTCAAGATTGATTTGACGTCGGCGCCGATCCATGCTCGATTTGAGGAGGCGTCAAGGAGGCAGGAAGGGAAGACACGGGGGGGTGTAAGCGTAGCAGTTTTGCATGCCCTTGGCCCAAGCTTCCGCGCCTTGGTTGTGGAGGGCAGGTGTCAAATCCGCTGCACCGGCCAGGGCTAATAAACTCAATTTTTCTCGAAGGGCACGGACGAGGCCGTGAGTGGCTGTTTGCTAACGCAAGACGCACGAGCTATTCCCAAGCGCGCCACGCTGCTCAATGCAATCATCAGCCCGACAGGGGAGGCCGACAATCTGGCCCCCAACAGCCAAGACATCATCATGCACGGCAGGGTGCTGAGCGCGGAGCTCTTGTCTCGCACGCCAGAAGTCGGTTTGCTGGCACCCTTGGCATCGGGCTGCAGACTGTCACTGCAAAGTGGAAGGTGGAGGGAGGGTCGGGGGATCGAGGGCCGAGAGCGTGTGCTGGCCATGAATCCACGGCGGACGGACTTTGCAGTAGTAAATGCCGGCCAGCGCACGCGCGCGCTAGTCTTCCGCCGACAGCCACAGACTCGTCTTAACGGGGCATTGCATGTTGTACGTGTTGCAGTGTACATACATATGTACAGTACGGAGTAATGTTTGACAGGCAAGGAATATTTAATGGAGCATGGAGAGAGCCACGACGCTTCGTGCATGGCCCCGGCCCTGGGAATACGGAGCAAAGGCGACTGTCTTAGATGACAGGACGGATGTCGGATCAGATTCCATATGGGCATCTGAAGGACGACGGAGAAAGCGTGGCTCGAAAAGACTTGGCCTAGACATTAGAATTGAAGATAAGCTGCTGTTGAATGATGCAAAGGCGCACTTCGTTACTGCCGGAACTTGCGTACCTGATGTGTACATATGTATACTTCGAATCCACGCTCCGGTCCTACCTTCCTCATCTACTCGTATTGTAGGCAAGTTCGTCGATTGGTAAGGGCTTACTCATGGGCCGATGATGCCATTTGCCCAGGTAGGCTGCGACAGGGGACCGGGGCTGGCGACGTGGAAGCAGGAGCGGAGCGCCCATGTTGTACGTGCATACATACAGTACGGAGTATGTAACATTGTACGCCGACTCTTACAAACCGTCAAACCGTCAAACCTCGAGCGTCACCACTATGCTATGCCAAGTACAAAGCTGCAAACCTTTGCGATCCTTCATTACCACCGTGGTATGTACCTCCGTCTGTCTCAGCAGTGAGCACCCTTGATATGCTAGCAGGGCAACAATCAAGCTTCTATATCTGTGGGTGACTTGACCCCCTTTGGCAAAATTGTCCATATCCTTTTCGGAATATCCGTGCAGTACGGAGTACCTCGAAATACAAGGTACTAAGTAGGCAACTGCAGCAACTGTCCACTAATGTTGTGCTCCAGCCCCTGTCAACAAGTAACCAAGTGTGGCGCCCACGGGGCCAAAGTCCCGCACCAAGTACGCAGTACTACCTGGCTTGTCCATGTTAAGCTTCAGCCTCGTCTTTGAAGCGCAAGCCACACTTGCACAGCCCAGGAACTTGCACCGGATAAACTCTTCTGCGCGGACCGCTTCGTCAAACACATCCTCTTTGGGCAAAGTCAAAGCAACCAGCCAGTCTTTTCTTAACTTCGATATACGACCTAAGCGACGGTTAGAAAATGCTAACGCCATGTACGACATATTCACCAACCTTATGATTCCAAGCACATGGTGCCGGTGCCGGGCGGCTATTCGTCATCGGACCACCGATGCAACGGTTTCGATTCAAGCCACACTTATTCCTACTCTTTCTTATACGTACCGAGTCTAAACTAGACTACTCCGCGTGCCACATGATCATCGCCGCCAAGATCCGAGCTGGCGTCCGTCGGCTAATGACATTCTTGACAATCACTTAGCGCCTGGCGCCAACTGGCCAATACTAGACCCAGGGACAGGGCCAAGGACAAGCTGGTGGATTCAGAACGTCTGCTAAGCTGCTTACGCGGAAGAGATAAGAGAGCCTGGAATGGAATTGATCGCCGCTTAGCCCGCGCCCACTAGACCCGGCCTACATACATACATACATACATATATACATACATACATACATACGTACATACCTAGGTATGTATGTAGATGTCGGAGACGGACCTTTTTGCGCTGGCCTGCTAGTCCTGGGCCAGTCGCAACACATGCGAGTCACCATGAGCGAACTCCCCGTACTCTGCAGAGGACACCTATGCTCGCCACGGGCTCAGGAATCAACGCACCACCAACCTTTCAAAGTCGTCCTATTGCTGTGGCATCATGCCAGACAAGATGTCGATAGCTGAAGACTGACGACGAAACCCCCCTAGTATCAAGGGGCATATGGCCATTCTATATCTTGATAAAAGTCAAACCTCAGTTATGCTGGAGGCTCGCTGAAGCTTGTAGTGATTTATGAAGCGTGAATCATTCTCTCTTGACACGGTGTTCACTTGTGCAGGGCAGAAGCGGCTGTATTCACATGCATGGTGGTCAACCGCCAAATTCAAATTCAATTGACACCTTGCACATTGCACGCGGCGCCTGTAGCCTTTTTCCTTGCTGCGAAAGCACACGTCACGAGTCCGTAGCATTAGTGCTCAGTTTTCGTTGAATATAACCGTGGATTACTCTGCTCAATCCTAGCCCTAGCTATTTTGGTCGTTCCTTCAACCATCGTGCTATGCCACTGACAGTAGCTCGGGGGGAGGTTTCTTCGTTGGTCTTGCTATTTTCTCCGGGACATTGTAATAGTTGACATTGTATTACAATGGCCCTCGGCAACATGCTGGTCGTTATATTGACGGTCCAAACGTAGTTTTTTCAAAGGTTCCCACTCACGTTTGACTTGATTTCTGTCACCGTTTCCTTTCCGTAAAGCTTCAAGCCAGTCGTATAG